TTGAGGTGACGTGCAACAACATTAACCTTAACCTTTCTGTTGATCACTTGTTAGCAGACCCTTCACGCCATGGCAGAGCGGACTGGTACAGGCAGGGCCCATAGTGATAGCCCTATAGTTGAAATCTACTACCCACAAATAAACATATGGACATGGGGTACTATTTAAAAAATGGTAAATGTATTTAGCACCAGCAAGACCATGCTGGTGTACCAGCCGATTATTCCCCCTATTACTCGTTTTATCGGTCACACCAAGGTGTATGGTGTGTGTGTGTGTGTGTGTGTGTGTGTGTGTGTGTGTGTGTGCGTGTGCGTGTGCGTGTGCGTGTGCGTGCGTGTGCGTGCGCTCTGCTCTGCTCTGCTCTGCTCCGCTGTGTGTATGGGTTCGGTGTGTTTGTTTATGTCCGACATCGGCATTTGTTTTAAAATGACCATGAACAGTAAGTAAACAGTTTTATAACAAAGTTTTATAAAAATGTAAAATGTTTTTGGTTTTATAAAATGTAAACTTGTCTCAAGCTTCGTTAAAGTGTTTCACACTTTGTAATTCTCGTTTGCACTTCTCAGCCAACGTAATTTTCCTCTGTCTACCCAATTACTGTTTCTTTACGCTCTGTGAAAGTGGAACATATTCAAGTAAAATAGGAAATTAAAGATTAAAAAAATAAAGAAGAGGTGTCATTTTATATTGGATGTAAGATCAATCTGGAAGAAGAAAAGTGCACATCTGTAAAACAAAAAAAAGTCAATTATATTATAGATTTTGATGTGAACTGGGTTAAAGGTGAAGTAGAGACAGGAAGAGAGGAGCAGACCAGTATCAAACGGCAATGTTGACTGACGCGCTCAGCTGGAGAAAGAGCAGCTGTGATGTCGTTGTCGGCCAGATGCTCGGATGATCTGATTAAGGACGTGCTCTCTATCACGTAGCTCCCACAGTTCACACACACATGTTTATCCATCTCTAAGTGGCATGTTGTGGACTTTTTTATTTTGCATGCTGTTGAGGGAGATGAGAACCTACTAATAGAATGATACTGTACATATCACACTCTTTTTATAGGAGCAAGTATCATTAAATATTCAAAACTGCATACCCTAGAAATTTGCATTGCTTTACGTCCATTTTCTTTTAACATGTGTTCAGGTTTTCTTTATAATAAAATATAAATAAACAATCTGTGTGAATTTTTTAACAGTCAATTGAGGGAGACAAAAGCCCTGGATTCTTATCAATGGCATTTATTTAGGTGTATTTTTTCCCTTTAATGCCAATCCCACTTTAATATCTACGCATGGCAACTGTAGTTAAGGTTAGGGGAGGTTGTGGTTATGACAGAGCAAATATTATTAAAATGTGTTCAGGTTTAGGCATTAAATCCCTTGAATGTGGTTATGGGTAGATTGTCTTTACAGTTATTAAAAAGCACCAATGATTGGAGGTAAGGGTGGTTAATGCATTAAACCTTACCTTTAAACCCTGCTGTCTCCTTTGTGTTATGGGGCATGTCACTTCCTGCATCGCCACTGAATACCAGCATTGTAGGGTGTGTTTGTTATGGATGTTATCCCGGACTGCAGATGGAAGCAGAGACCTGACCTGGACACACCAAACCACAAGAGGACGTTTTGATGATATGAATCTCGACATGCGACACTCTGTCCCTTTTTGACTTATTAGGAAAACTCTGATTTATATTTCTCAGTATGATGTATATGATAATATAGCAGCCTATATTTTTCAGTCCTCACCCACTGAAACGACTGCATAATCCGGGATCACTAGAGCGGCTCAAACTGCTGCTGTGAAATGAGAGAAATAACATTAGTTAACATCTACATACCACCTCCTGCCCCTCTTCCTGTATCCTCCAGGCACTCCGAACACAGTCAACAGAGACAGAGCTGTGATTTATCTAGCTGCAGGCGGACAAAGGGCCTCGGTTCAATAATGACAAATGTTCCCCTCAGCAATCCACACTTGATGTTGTCAGGCAGTCTGTCTATGAGACCCTCTAGGAACACATGTAATCCCTCAAGTCTCGGGCTTATTGATTACAAAAGGCAGATACATTTCAACAAGGGCTGCAATCAATAAACACAGCAGTGCATGGATAATATATGATAATAATAATAATAGAAGTCATAAATAATCATTCATAACTGAATGAGATCATAATGAATGAGTTTCACTGAGGAAGTCACGTTTTCGTGTCCCAATTTGACTGTTTGAGAAGGAGTACATTATCAGATATGATGAGCAGGTATTTTGCACGAAGAGTACAGTGTGAATTAACAACACAGAACATGTGAGATTGAAAATAGTCTATTAAATATAACTTTCATAGAACAAACTCAATCTCCTCTTGTATTACCTCTTTTATTATAACATCTGTCCACAGCATTTAGAGACACAGGTGGGTTTTTAACGGCCACTCCATGTCTTTCCAGTGTGTGATAAGCATTTATATAATTACAACAATTCACAGCTATTCTGACCGCAAGTGGATTCTGTAATGTTCAGCAATAATGTGTACAAAACCTGAAGGATCTGAACAAATATATAAAATGACTTGTTTGACATTTAGCAGACATATTGGCTTTCTTGCCAATAGTTAGATAAGATCAATAAGATTGATACCACTGTTATATCTGAATATGGTATCAATTCTTATTTAAGTCTTGGTAACTTATGTCTAACTGTTCCTTTAAAACATGTTACTTTTGGGAGTCACGACCAACCTCAAAAGACATGCTGTGTTGTACAGCTTTTTACAACTATCCAACATTGTGATTTTGTTATTCATCCACTTTCTGCCCTCTTGTCCTTGTAAGATTTATTGAATAGGGCAAAGGCAAATAAATCCATCATACAAAGGAGGAACAACCATAAAGGGCACAGAGAAGATGATAAAAGAGGCAGAGACAGGCAGCACGACATGTTATAAAAGCCAAAAGCCTCTGGTAGGAAAAATGAGGCAGCAGCAGAGAGGAAATGTAGACATAAAGGAAAAGGGACACCAAAAATGTACTCTCTGGCCCGGTTCTACATTAACTTTTAGCTGTGGTGTTGTAGGCATACTGTAGCTATTTATATTATATGCTGTGAACTACACTGTGCATTAAGCAGCTCTTTGTATCTGCAGTATATAATGTCTCACCATACACTATGTAAACAGTGAAAACACTGCAAAATTCAAGCAAAAAAAAAAGGCTTACAATTAAAATGCACGACACAAAATCCCTTGGTATTATGTGGCGACACAAATCCGCAGCTAGTGGGCGTCATTCTGACAAAAACTGACACGAACAGTAAACAGTAAGCTGGTGTTCTGGCATGGTGAAATAAGTCCCTATTTTTGTATGTTAGTCCAGGCAGTCGAGGCTCCGAGCACAGGCAATTAAAGCGTTTTGTATAACACAGAGAGAACATCTCTTGAATCTCTATGGTCACGGTGAGTGGAGGATGTTGTACATTCATTAGAAAGGAGAGATGTCAAGAGCCCGGTTGACAAATGACCTTGGCTCCAAATGCCCACCCAGCTGTAATGTGTTTTATGTGGACACTGTGCTGGCGATATTCTATAAGTGTCTCATTGTTGATCCCATATACCCCCCCCAATACAACAACATTGAATTCATCCTACTAAATATAGACAACATTAGCCTGATATAGCTTCTTCCTCCGTACCACGGTCCTCCATTGTTGTTTGGAAACAGAATGAGTCACAGCGTATTGAATGGTGACATGTTCCTTCATTGTGATGAACGTTGGCAATATTTTCAGTCCCACATACACTGTACTGTTGCCGAAAATAATCCCCAAATATGTTTTATTTTGAAGCCGGTATAGCCACCAAAATGCACTATTCACTGCTGTTAAAGTAACATTTACTAAGAAACTAGTGCAGGTTTTAGGAAATAACTGAGCCTATGTAAAAAATGAAATTGTGTTTGTGAGATGTTTTAGGACATTTTCATTTTCAGTAGGATACAAAGACCTTGGTGATGAGATGGACTCTTACATTGTTGAGCTTGAAGGTTAATTCTCGGCTTTTGAAGTACCAGTTTGATTATTATATATGACAATTGAAACCTAACTGCTATTATGTGACCACAATTTCATACTTATCTCCATGACAACCAAACTACTCTACCAACTACTGAAGGCCACAAGATTAATTAGTTTGAGTCTTTTCATTGGATTTCATGACAATACAAAAAGAAATACAGCACAGTACCAGCTTTGTCCTTCAAGGATTATACACAGACGAATAATATTCACATATTGTGTGATGAATGACGTATAAAATAGATTGCAATAAATCACTTACAGATCAATGTCGATAAACTTTAAGAAGAAATGACTTCGACGTTTCCTTTGAACGTAATTTAATAACTTGTTTTTCTCCTACTCACTGGATCATACGTTATGTTGTGAGATGATAGGAAACTGTGTAACTATTCTGCTTATGATACATATTGTAAGAGCTGTGTGAAGAATCTGAGCTCTTCAGCGGAAAAATGAAGATACTGCAGAAAGAGAGAGAACGCGAGAGAGTTTGACCCTGGTTACACACACACACACACACACACACACACACACACACACACACACACACACACACACTTTTTATATATTTTGGATAACTTAATAACATGTTTTTCTCATTCCACTATTGAACAGTAGGATCCTTGATGCTTGTACACCTCACATTCATGCTGATAAAGCATAATAAAAATGAATGTGAGAGTGAATAGATGGTAGTGAGTCATATGCCGATGTTACATAATCAGTCTGGGGAAGAAGCTACAGTAAGTGATGACAACAGGTACGACCTTGTTGATGCACCCAGAACATAAGGGGGCATTGAGTGAATACATTTAAATTTAACTTAAGCATTTAGAATCAGAATCAGCTAAATCAGTTTTCCAGACTCCTGTTGCCTCAGGTCCCTGATTGAAATCAATGCAATTTATTTTCTGTGACGTAGTAGCAGGAATGTGTCTCGTACTCTCTGTTCACAGAATGAATCATTGATGGCTTCTAGAGACGTTACTGAGAAGTGATTATTATTGCAGAGGGCTTTCGGTATGTGTGTGTCTCAGACAGTTAGTGAGTGTAGTCCCCCGTCTCCTCCTGAGAAAGAAAGAGAAAGTTCCAGTGATGTGACCGAGGAGCCAAGCCGGCTGTCACAAATCCCGTTGAGTGGGTGCTCGTCCATTTCAATGTACATCTTTTTATTCACAAACTGAAGGGTGATGATGGATGGCGTATGTACACTTTCACTGTTCATCCCGGCGTCGCTGTGGCCCCCATGACCCCATGAAGCAGCGTACTCAGATACCGGGAAAGCTGTCCACATATTCGCTTAATGACAGTGTTAAAGCCTGAACACTCAGTGCGTGAGGAGTCTGAGCAGGAGCACTTACATGCTCTCTGCTTGTAAGGTAAGTCTTTCTCTGGGAGGATGAAAATGCACGATCCTGTCGAGACAAAGAAGAGTAATTTGCTTTGATGTGAGTCTTTGTACCAACTTCAATTTATGAGACACAATTCAAGAGAGCAAGTGGTGTTAAAAGCTGGAAACACAGTCTTGTTTCTTTTTAACACCTATGTTTGTTCCCTTTGGGATCTGCTATTCACAAAGGTGCAATGGTGGAAAGTAAGTCAATTTACTCAAGTCTTGTAATTTTCTTCACATATTTGTACTTTACTTGAGTATTTCCATTTAATGCTACTTTATACTTCTACATTTCAGAGGCAAATATTGTACTTTTTATTCCATTATATGTATTTTAACACTCAGAGTTACTAGTTACTTTACATGAAAGGCTAACATGGTATAATAAAGTATGGTACTACTAATCTAGACAGTATTTCAAGTATAAATATTAAAATGCTCCTACATGTTTGAAAACAGGATAACATAATAGCCATAATAATATAATAATGTGAAAAGATCCATTCTTCCATCACTGCAACGGTGGGAGTGAGACTTAATCAGTGATATTTATAGGACAATTGTTTGACAAGTTTCTTGTTCTTGTAATTCTGTCTCATTCTCAAAACTGTGCTCAAAAACCCCCCACGCACTCCACAGCAGCTTGAACTGGGAGACCTCAGTGAACAAAGAGCACGGACTTGCTGTGCCTGAGGACACGAAAAAAACGAATCAATTCATTATCATGTTTAACCTCGATGAGCACAAGGACAAACATGAGAGGACTAAAACACAGAATGAACAGGGAGAGCCTTCAGGCCTGCAAAATATATCAGCAAGGTTCCGGGTGTTTTTATAAAACTGATAACCTTTCAAAACATAATGCTAGTTTTTATGTTGGTTCATAGCTCCAGACTGAGAGAACGAATAATGCTTTTGTAAGCATTAACATGCAAAGGAATAGCAAGGCACAAATGAAGGCACATACTAACCCTAACCCTAAGCTAAAATAGGTGGAATAAAATACTACTACTTTGTCATGGTCAAAATACAGGTTGTGAACTATATTCATCTTCACACCAACTGTATAAGTAAAGGGAAAGCTTATCATTGGGATTCAGTCAAAATAAAGGTCAAATATTCCAAAAATAGTTTAGGCAGAGAGGCATGTGGTTTCATCGGGAGGGGGCTCACTACAGGGATTATTTCTCTCTACGCTCTGAGCTGCTTCACTACAAGATGCTCATTAATTTTCATGAATATAAAGAGAACAGTACATTGCTATGGCTGTTTACCTTTTCATGGGGTCTTTGACTGGCTGGCGGCCACATCGGCCATTTCTGCTGGTATGCCTACGTAAACGCCACCATAGTTCCTGAGAACAGAGGAGAAGAATGTAGCATTTAAAAGACAAAGGGATTGAGTTAGTGGTGGTTCTAAATGCAATACAGTTTCTCCTTTTAGCAATGCATTAGCTCTCTGAAGCTTTCTAACTGTTCTTGGAGGAAACCACGCCTGTTTAAAAGCAATCACATTACGCTTTCCGTGATGTTGTCAGGCATTGATGAAGAGCGCATGGATTTGGTTTGTCTGATTTTTTCCTCTTGATATAAAAAGTGACATTGATGATGATTAAAAATAGGAGTTGTAATCGTATTCTCACTGTACAAATGTAATCTTCTTAAATGTTTTAATTGAGGGACTGCGGGTGGAAATTAGCTCAAAGCTAAATCTGGCACTGTTACGCTTGACACATTTGAATGTTTTAAGTGTTCATTACTGTGCATTGTCCCTGCCAAATAAAATGTTTAATTAAATGTATATATGGTTAAAATGCACCTCAAAAGCCTGAAAGAGGAGTAAGACATTTGGAGGAAATTTGGAATTTTGATAAAATTAGCACAATACCTTCTTTTCTCATCGTCTACCGGGAGATCTTCTGTCCTGATTGAGAGAAGAAGCACAGGTCAGGTCAGCTCTTTTGGGGGCACAGATTACATAAAAGCAAACACAAAAACACGCGCGCACGCACGCACGCACGCACGCACGCACGCACGCACGCACGCACGCACGCACGCACACACGCACACACGCACACACACACACACACACACACACACACACACACACACACACACACACACACACACACACACACACACATTGAGAACTCAACTGAGAGAGTGCATTGGCGGAATATTGGATGTATCTTTTTGGGGGTGAATTCTGCTTATTCTCATCTGGCAGTTCAGCACAACTGAATTGAAAACTTTAGTTTCATCCAACTTCCAAGAACCTCCCCAGCTTGAGAAAATAATTAATATAAAAAAAGATAATCATTTTACGGATGTATTATTATCACCTGTTCACATACAGGTCAAGGTTGTGTCTCTGTGTGTGTGTGTGTGTGTGTGTGTGTGTGTGTGTGTGTGTGTGTGTGTGTGTGTGTGTGTGTGTGTGTGTGTGTGTGTGTGAGTAATATAACAAAGTACAGTCCTAGGAAGCTGTGATTAGCTTCACTGAGTCAGTGTTGTGCTGCTGTCAGCTCTCATGGGTCCTGTGCTGGCTGCTCAGATGGTTATCAAGAAGTGCACACACACATAAACACACATACACACACAACCAAACAAACACACACAGATTCCAGGAAATGCTTTGGACATGCTGCCCCTCCCAAAGGTTTGATAAATGATAACTTTTTAAGGACAAACTGTCCTTCACATGACACTACGCAGAAACATGTTGGATTTGTATTTACCAAAGCAGGAACAAGCTCATACTGTATGACCATGAAACCCAGCGGGAACCTGGTTGTATGGTCGAGTATCTTTGCTTTTTTCTTATTGACTAGTGAGGTCTTTGTTTTTCGGTCAACTATGTATGACTACAAGCTTTCATTCGGCTCGTAAACAGTATCCAAACAACTAACACTCTCACACAAACAAAAAATATATTTTCCAAGTCGGATTTTAGACACCGTGTTTTAGACACCGTGTTTTAGACACCGTGTTCACCTTGGATGATATAGTTATTTTCTTCATGCATTCTTCAAGTAATGCTTTGAAGAGCTGAAGTAATACATTACATTTGACTAATATGACTAATGTACTTACACATCTTTTGACACGTCTGCTGGCCCTGAAAACAGATGAAAAGGCCAATTAATTTTATGAAAATTATCTAAGGATGTATGTGATCATACTAATAAATGCCTTCATTCAACAGCCATAGGATGTGAATCATAGACCTTTATGAATAAACAAAGACATATTAAAAGTGGTAATTTTATAATACATCACATTTAAAAAGAAAACGTATCTAGCAGCAGTCTGGTTAGGTGTTGAGTTATCGTAAAGCAAATCAGAATGACTTTAAATACATTTAAAAAGCTTACATTTCTGTTCAGGTTTCTATTAATACAAGACTACATGTCAATGTTTTCGCAGATCGCACTTGAAGTTTGCAGTATACAAAATAGAGTCACATATAATATCAGTTTGATCCACACGGTCATCAAACCTTTTAGTTGTTTTTCCAGTATAATTACACATAACCAAAGCACAAACATAAATGTTTTAATGATTTTTGTGGTTTTCAGTATACAGAAACACTTTCAAAAAACATTTCACAACTTGTCTCTGAGGACATGTTGTAAACAGATAAAAGGCATGCAGTTTGAATGCCTCTAATTCCAAATTACAACAACTCATCCCAATGCTGTTTGACACGTCTATGATCCAACAACAGCTCAGTCTTTGCCGAACCACATGCAGTCCACTAAGCAGGATTTGAATCAAAATGAGATCACAGTGCATTCAGTAGGAGGATAATCATCCTGCCTGTACAGTATCACAATGACAACAGCGGAGGAACAACCCCCTCAATAATACCCTTTATTGGGTTTTTAATGCCGTTTTAATGTAGACATGTACCATCAAAAAGAACACTCCACGTGTAAGATGTCAGGGCGGAAAGAGTGGAACATTTAAATTACTCAGAAATTCAGTAAATGTCATCCTTGTTAAAGGAAAGGAGGGCTTTTTCACAGTAAATGTTTAAGTCAGCTGACATGACACAGGGCCTATTCAGTAGCCTGACAAAAGCTCATTCATACCCACATCTGGGTGCATAAGACTAGGGATGAGCAATGTGATATAGAGGCGGCCATTTGAGCTTGGTAAGTTTTGAATTGAAACATTCTAGTATGACTTGAAAGCTTGGAAGCTTACAACTTAGAATAATCATATTTGACTTTAACCTTACTATTTAGGATTTAAAAGGCTTTTTTATTTGAGTGTTCTCATTTTCACGTGTTAACATTGTATTAATGAGTGAGAGAAAGAGTGTTGTGACATGCAACAAAGGTTTAAAAAGTGGAAGCAAACACGGGATATTCTGGTTAAATGGCATATGGTGCAACCACTCGCTAAAAACACCCTCAAGGGAATTCTTCAGCTTTTTAACATGTACTGTCTAAGCAATATTAAATCAGAAAAACTAGGTAATAACACCTTACATTATAGTCTTACATAAACATAACGATTTTTAAATGCTTTCAAATGTACAGTAATTGTTAACGATTATAACATGTCCGATTAAGTCATGTATTATTTAATATAAATACAAAATGTAATTTATATTGTTATCCAATATTATTCACACATAGGAAGACTTTTACCTTTTTTTTTAAAAATGCCTCAATTTTGCCTCACCTACATCATAATTAGTGTTAAAGGTTTAGTTACTTTTAGAGACAAATGTGAGGTTAATAGCAATTAAACACTTAAACATAAAACATAGATGAGTTGTGACATTTTCCTTTTATTGAATATTGTATCTTTACTACAGAAAATAACAGTGTGGGGAAACAATGTCCAACTGGCATTGACATATAAGTGCAACCATAAGTCAAAGTGACAGGATGTCACACGTTCTTGACATTGTGCCGACCGCTGACCCCTAAGAAGAAACGGGAAAAGACCAGCTGTACACAACTGACCACAGCTGGTGGATTCATGGACAAACAAGCCACACACACAACAAACTCAAACACCTTCTCGGGTGTTGTTTACATAAATTGTAACCTGAAAGATGTATGTAAAGGAAAAAAACAACAACATGGATCACATTTCCCAGTAGTGGCTGTGGCTAACGTGCCTGGCAAGCACTAATTAGGTACCTGCAAGCAAACACACTCATTTACACCAGCATGAACAGACACCCTACTGCTTTTAATGGCCTTTGGTGGTGAGGTAATCCTGCAGATACTTAAATCTAATTTTTGCCCCAATTTGACCATGGTCCCTAGAGATTTGTCCAATATAATTTAAAACAGGTATTGCATCAGGGTGAATCAACAGAGATGTGTGTTATTCGAGGACAAGTCATCCAGGCTTTATACAAGAAATCTGCTCAATGGTCAAAGGCACTAAAGCTGCTTGTCTTTCATACTGTAAATCCATGGAAACAAGGACAAACGTACCAGATAAAGAAACACAACAAAAAAAGTGAGAAAAACACATTAAAACCTTTTAGCTATGGAGGACATCCTTTGTGTGAATATAGACGTTAACATTATAACAGTATAGTGTCATAATCACTATCAAAGCGGGACATTCCTGAGGCTACTTCTCTGTTGTTCTGTCAATGGCTTTTTAAAAATACATATTTTTCACGATGAGACACACACATACATGGTGATGCAAAGGTTGTCCATTTTTTATGAATGAAATCAAGGCATTGAGAGCCACACACAGACATGGGCATCTCAAGACAAGGGTAACCCCCACACACTTCATTTACATTCAAAACACTCTCTCTCCTTGGTGCAGATACAGTGACAACTCTCCCTCACACTCTCCCTCGTTTTCATACAAACACACATATTCCCTAAAAACACTCACCCCCTCCTGCCGTGTTGGTGCCTGCGGAATTGCCACAACCCATTTTGCATCGATGCCACGGTCCAACAATGCGTAGACGCTTAAGAAGAAGAAGAAGAAGAAGAAGAAGAAGAAGAAGAAGAAGAACGAAAGAAGGGAACCCCAAAACACATTGGGGAGAGGGGGGAGAAAGTGAAAGAAGGTCAGAGAAATGTCTCCCACTGACTGTAACACAGGGATCTCCTATGGTCGTATCCCCTTCCTCTCTTTTCAGTCTTGTGCCTATCCTCTCTGCAAACCAATGGAGAGCTGAGAGTGAAGTGAAAGCATGGAGAGAGAGCCTTTTATACACACACATACAGTATACACACACACTAGAAGAGAGGATGAGAGAGAGGGGAGAGAGGGGAGAGAGAGGAGAGAAAGATGCTATGCCCTCACATGATTTGCTCTTTTCCTCCACCCTGACAAGGTTGCCCGGGAAACCGGGGGAAAGTAGGCGGAGGGTGGGGAGACACTCAACCAATAGCAAGCTTCCTTATTTTTATATAAAGGTATAGGGGGAAATGAAATACATTTAAGGGACATTAATATTTTTGGCCTGTGTTTGTTGTTTGTTTTTTTTCGAGCAATTATAGATAGCAAGGAGCTGAAAAACCCTCTGTCTGTAATTTAACCACGAGGGTAAGCACAGGTCAGTTAAAAAGACCCCAACCAATATAAACTCAATCTCTTCTTCAATCGAGCCATTGTTTGCTCTTACAGGAAGAGGGGAGTCATATGAATGGAGTTTAGATGACAGGATGCATTGCATTATCACAACGCTGCAGGGGAAACAATTTTCACACTCAGTCAGTGGTCTTATGATCTTAGGTGTGGCTGAGAGTCAAGATTTTTACATTGAAAAAAACATGCTTTTTCTCTTTCAAAGCCTTCAAACATAAAATCTGAGTTTCCATGTAAGCCCTATTAAATTGTTCTCCCATAAAAGTCTGCGCAACAGTAGACATAGCAATAGGAAAAGCATTTTCTAAAGGAAAGTACTTTTTTTCACAGTATCAGATTAGACTATGTTTAACCTACCTTAAGGGACACTTATTAACTTTCTGGCAGAGAGTTGAATGAGTAGATTAATAAGCCTAACGCAACAGTATGTCAGTTAGCTTAGCTTAGCACAAAGACTGGAAACAGGGGGATACAAACCCAATAAAGCCCTGCCCACCAGCTCGTCTAAAGCACATATCACACATTATCTGTCAGCTTATGTTTAATTTGTACAGAAAACAAAACCTAAATATTACTATTTTACCAGAGGTTATGTGCAAGGCAAAATGAGCAGAATGTAAACAACTGTAAAAATAAACGTTGGCATATTTCAAGTGGATGGATTAGCACAGAAGTTACCCCACAGGATGAATCCTACAAACTTTGATGACTTTACTATGAGTTTCACATTCAGTCTTTAACGACAACATGTTTCTACTTGTTGTTGTTAGGCCTACAGTAATTGACTTACATAACGTTCAGTACTGTCCCAGTCACAAGATGTTCACCCTAACAATTCTTTGAAAGTGTGTTTCCTTGGTCAGCTGAATCCCTGTTTTGTTTCAGAGTTTGTTCCACTGATGTTAAGCATATCTTTTTATAGGCCAGACTTAGCCGAGCCAGCACACAATTAATTATAAGTCAGTACTGACAGGGCTTATCTAAATTAGAGCCAGAACTTACCCAATTAAAAAACACAAGCCCATTGGGGAGGAAAGGATGTCCTCCTGCTCAGGCTGCCTAGGAGCTTGATGATGAGGGACAATGCTTGTCACGGCTTGCCTATTATTGAGACACATAACAACAAGACAAGACAATCCTAAAAAGTCAAATAAACCTAAAATGTCTTGGATCAAGTCGAATAAATTAGACAACTTCAAGGTTATGTCCCTGACAACAGGCTATTGTTGTTCTCATAATAAACCAGATAACATTTGAAACCAATGAAGTTATATAGTTCAGTTCTGAGATTTTTTCATTTAATTTGATTCAATTCTCATAATCAGTAGAACACATTACCATATTTGCATTGGAGTACTAGTTGTCTATTATCTATATCTATCTATATATATATATCTATATCTATATCTAGTTGTCTACTAGTACTAGTTATCTATGATAAGATAAGCTTTGCTCGTCAAAGTTATGTAACAAATAGCTAAAGGTAAACCATTTTTTGGGGGAAAAGTATATGTGGCTACCTCAACTTTTCTACTAAAGTGCCGGTTAAAAATGTTGGGCAAAAATATAATTGTAACAACATACTTACCCATATTCAAAGTATTCATTCCCCATACACGTATTACTTATGAATGATTCTTTACACCAAAACGTATTGATACCATTTAATATCAATGAAAAGTCAATGTAAAATAAATCACGTAAAAGTCAGTGCTATGAACTGGATGTCAACTCAAATCCAGCCTTAACAGGCAAATCCCTAAAACAGCATGCTTTATGCAACCATTTAAGAAGCTGTTGACTGTATATTAATACAACAAATACTAAATACACTTTAATTTAATTATTAAACAGGAGAACATGTCATCTCATACTGAAATGTAATGAATCATATATTTAAATCCATGCCTAACATCAGTTTTCTTCTTGTCGAGTTAAGGTTTTTGGAAGCATTGGAGGTGAATGTAACCATGGGTTCTTACAGGGCGCTCTTTATGGTGGCAGGTACGAATTAGATGAAACGACATGAACGTAAAAGAGGAGGCATGACATTTAAAAACACAGTCTGTCAGAATATCTGACATTTCGAGAGGAAACTGCTTATTTTATCATCCGGCAAGGGATCAGCCAAGGAAGGGATTTTTCCCCCGGATGTGAGCAGCCTCTGCAGGAAGAGTGACGTAATTAGAGAGCCAGTAGCTTTCAGTTTATTCCGTACATTACGTGCTCTGCCTTCAATAGACAAATCAAGACAAGAGGTTTTTGATAAATCCATTGCTCATTGTTAAAATAACAACGTTATTATTCAACCTTTTGTTAAGAAAAGTTATCAAGACGCATAATAATCTACACAATAGGCTTATCTTTTGAAAGAGTCTCATTCTCAAGTGACAATATGTCATTTTTCTATCATTAAAGATTTGATTCAATTAATTTGCAGACACTTCTCACTTAATTTAATTGCAATACACAGTATTTGAGAATACCCATTTGATATACTTAATGCTTGTATTAGTCAACATTTTAAAAGGATTTTTATATGTGTGCTCGTACTGTATAATTTACTCTAAACTTTTCAACTGTATACTAAAATCTATTATTAGTATTAAAAAGATAACAATATAATATATAAGAAATATAACGAAAGGGGCCAGTCTGCAATTTTACTTTTTACACTATAAGTACATTTTACTGCTGATATTTCTTTATATTCAATTTACATTTGGACTTGCAATGGAGTGTTTAGATTGGAAATGTAATAGCAGAGTATCCTTTTAGTTAACACATCAGTAAAGATATGTAGTTTCACAGTCTTACCACCACTGTAGGAATAGAGAGCTCCCACTCTTTTAAACCTTAGTTCAACCATTAACTTAAGATATATTTGTCCTTGAAATAGTATCGTATTGTTGTGATGTGATGTTGTGCATTCAGTCATTTTGTAGAGTTTTTTCAAGGCAGTATTACATATTGCAATTCTTCAAATGTCCACAAGAGGTCCCTGTTGATACTGAAATTGTAAAAACGTTAACCTACAACTACGTTATATTTTACGTAAACAACTACTACGAAGCTCTGCCATCTACAGATCACATGGTTGGACAATAAGTAAGTTAAATATAAAACAATAAAAGCATACACTTTAAATAAAGTTCACTGTTTTTAACTATTTCTCACTAGTTGCTCTCAGCGGTTGCTCTCAACGGCTGTGTGGATGAGATCAGATTAGGGCCGCCTCCAAATCCTACGTGTTCCACTCGTTCCACTCCCCCGCGCAGTGCTCTCTGGGAAACTGAGTCCACTCTAAATAATTCAAGCTGCCGTACCTTTTCTTCCACCGCTAACAAGATGCCGGCCGTACATCACAAACTGCTCCTGGAGGACGCTTTGCAAGACAGTCCTCAGGTAGGCCTGTGTGGGTATTATCACGTTTCAAGACACGACTGTCACACGACAAGGCGTAACGAGCAATGAAGCTAGCTTTCTAGCCCAAACAATATCATGTTCCTGGCGTAGCCTCTTTCCACTGGCCGATGACAGCTCCTAATTGACACTTTGTTGTTGAAATGTAATCCTCTCACAGTCGCCTTCCTGCTCCAAACAAAGTTCTAGTTTATACTGGTAATCTATATGATCGGTGTGTATGTGTCTTTGTTGTGTTTACAAAGCTACTGCTCGTCCCAGTGCTCTTCTCTATGATATGCTGTTGTGCATTTAGACACCTCAATATGTTAGATGTATGGGCCATAGCTGAACCAGAATCCCTCTATTGCAATACTTTTATTTTTCCGATGTCGTATGAGGTTGGATTTTGGGGCTAGACCCTGTAGTGGAGCCGAACTGGGCCCGATTTACAGGATGTGGGAGGGGTTTCCATTATCGGACTGCACTAGAATTAGTCAATAGCCGGCTGCAACAGGGCAGCAGTGGTGGCTCCCAGTGGTAAATAGCATATGTTGTTTAGAGCCCAAAAGTCTAGGGTGCAATTTCAAAGTTGCAATCCATTAAATCCAGAACAGTCCTTGCTTTAATGCTCATCTAATTTAGCCCGTATTAAATGCTCTCTGTTGCATCATTCCTTCTCAAACAGTGCTACCCTGTTAGATGCTTAAGTGCAACCCATGCTGAAGGGTTATTTCCTTCTTCACGTGTTTCAACTCCTACAAGAAATAGGCCTGGTGTCATTGCTACATTAAATGTAAACACAGCCAAAGTTTTCAATGTTCCAGGTAATGGTTGGTGTGAAATGGTTCTCTATCTTTCTGTGGCAAAAGTCAGGTGGAGTAAACTGTAAACAGACGTTAGCCATGGGCGTGTTTCCTCTCAGCTGTATCTGCCCTGCCTTGCTGCACCTGTTCGGAAATAAAACTACACCCAGACAGGATTTTCTCAGTCTGCATAAATTAAATTATGTTTAGTTTGACTTGGAAGCTTCACTTTCATAAGCCTCTGCATACTGCAGCTACTTCCCTCAGCCCTCTTTCCACCACCAGAAATGTTTTATGCATCTATTGTTTTTGTTTCCACCAAACCTCAAGTTGTGTTTTTTAATTAAGGTACTTAATTACTACTTGTTAAGTACAATGCGAAAATATAAAAAGTAACACTTGACTCAATTTCAATATGCCCAGCTCCGCCTGAATTGTCCTGATGTAATAAACACATTTGATTATCATTTGTGGTTTTAACAGATGCTTAAACTCATCTGAATAATGAGTTGGTGGCATAACGCAACTTCACACCTCAGTATGATTTACGGTTAGGGCTGCAACTGACATTTATCTTAATTTTTGATTAATCTGCTGATTACTTTCCTAAATATTCAGTTAATAGATTAATTGTTTTTTAAATATTGGAAAAATGCTCATTGTAATTTCCAAGAGCCCTAGAGTACAACTTCAAGTTGCTTTCCTTTTGTGAAAATACTCCCAAAGATATTTGATTTGTAGGAGAAAGTTTTAAATAAACGTCATCTTCTTACCCAAAATAACTAATACATTTGTGTGTACCCTCCATCTCAAGTTTGTTCTAAAATGTGTTATATCAGGAAGAAGTCCACTTTTTAAACTCCAGATTGTATTTGTACATAGCATCCTTTTAATAATTAATTTAACTAACCACTCGTCTGTTCAACCTGTTGTCATATTTAACCAAAGAGTGTATAAATGTGTTGTTCCACAGACTCGCTCCTTGCTCAGCGTGTTTGAGGAAGATGCTGGGATGCTTACTGACTACACCAACCAGCTGCTGCAGTCCATGCAGCGTGTGTACGGAGCGCAGGTACTAAACAAACACACACACACACACACACACACACACACACACACAGACTCCGTTTCCTTAACTGTGTTTGGCTTGGTTTAACATCATACAATTGGGCAGGTGTATGTTGTTTTTTCTTAATGGGAGTCATAAAATGTATTTGCTTGGTTGAGGATCATTTGAGGTTAATAATTAGCATTATAAAACTACAGTAGAGCATTGTATTGGTTTACACTGAAGTGAAGATACTGCTTCGGAATACACCAATGCCAAACTAGGATATTACACACACCTATATACAGTATGCAGCTGATACATGCAAACTGAAGAATGAAACGTCCTGAGAAACATTCCAATTTAAGTGTTGTTTCTTTGACCAGGAAATAGGACATTTGCACAATTTCCGTGTAATGTGCAGTAAGTAATATTATTGTGCTGTTGGAGTGTAGATAGTTTTGACCTCCCTTGACACTTAGACAATGATGCCTCATTGAACAAAACGCAGTCACGATAAATGCTTCATTCTTTTCACAGTAAACGGACACAACTTATAACATGATGTAATACCTCAGAACCAATAACGGCTCCCCGCCGGTAAAGCTGGCATTTATGTGACCCTTGTGCTCTTTAAAGGGATTTTTATTTTCAACCCTGACAATTTATTTTCCTTAAAGGGCTTAAAGAGCAACTTGCAGGTTTTTTTTTTTTACTACATTTATGCTTAACCTTGCCTGAAAATTACAATTAAAAATTTTAATGCAGGATTTGATATGTTTTACAAGACATAAGGGCAGGAATTCAGAGGAAAAGGAGCCGTTTTGAGCTCTGCTACTAAAAACTGCTTTTTTTTTAACGTCAAACGCGTCATATTACGTCACATGGGGGAGTTAACTTTCTCGGACTCGTTCTCTGCCCAATCCGCGGTAGTAGTTTGTAGTTGGTTTGAGCGGTATTTTTTCGGTAATTTTACATTGCATTTCACCATTTGTAATCATGGTGAGCTTGTGTTTGTGCAGGTTGCACAAACTCAAGCCTGTCAGGGCATCGAGTCCACAGTTTCCCTCACTGGAAAAGGACCGGAGCTAGTGTTCGTTCCTGGGTGCGTTGTGCATCCACCTCCCTGCAGCACATACTCCGTCTCCACAGCTTTATCAAGGAACCGTATTACATCTCTCTCCCCCACTTCGCTGCTCTCTCTCTCCCCCCTTCGCTGCTCTCTCTCCCCTCCGGTACA